ATAGGGGACTCTCATATAGCACCCTAAATAGTAGGATCCCTATCGTAAGGACCCCCAAAATAAGGTGCCCCTTATTTTCGGGAACTCCCAAATGGGTAACGATAAGGGAGACAATCGGGTTTAGACTTTACGGTTTGGGGGCCTTGGTAGTTGGAAAAAGGGGCTCCTGTTAAACGGTTCCTGGATTTTCCAAGGATAACTGGAAGGGCTTGATACAGGGGTGTTAGCAGGAAGGTTGTTTCAGCTTCTGTATACAGCAGCTTAGGCTTTGGGGCCTCGGGTTTTTGGTTGAAGTGCGATTTAGGGTTTAGGGGGTAGCAACACCGATTGAAAACAAAAACGAGCTGTGGAAACAAGATTTTAGTTGCAACTTCGGTGCGACGACAGAACGCAGTGGCAAGTGATCTCACAAGGCGAACACGAAGACAAGCGATAAGAGTCGAAGTCGTATCCACCACCCCCATCGTCACGCTGCTAATAATGCGTGAGCGTTGGAGTAACAACAAGCACAACAAGTGACCCTGACAACAGGAGGGAGGGTTATCGCAACCATGATCAGCTGGCGACGGTCTTTCCCATACACGGTTGTGCTTCGTTCACTGGGTGGCTGCTTACTGCCAAGACGCTGATGGCAAAGACAACGAGGGTCAGCAAGAAGTAGAGTCTCCTGGCGTGTGAGTCTACGCTGAGGGTGCAGAACTGCAGACACATTTCGACACAAAAACCGAAACGTTCTCAGCCAAGTCTCGTGAGCAGGAAGTAGTACATGGCTAGGCGGTTCCAGACAATGTCTGCGAAAAGCGCCTCAAAATGACACAGAGGCAAAACCGCGATGCTCGGAAAACTAGGTGACCGGTCCGGATCTCAACCCTGAACAACCCTAAACCCTAAACCCTAAACCCTGAACCCTAAATCCTGACCTCCGCCGACTTTGATCCGAGCAGCCACAACGGAGTGGCTGATGATCTTTGGGTCTTTGAAATCTGCCAGCCACTCCAGGGCCTCGGGCCACTCCGAACACGGAACCCTACACCTTGCCCTGAGAAGACGCAGCAGAATTCTTTCTATCACCGGAAGAAGCTACAGCAGAATTCCCTCTATCACAGCACCGCGGGGTCCTGAACTCGAGCATCTAGCAGCTACCAATCTGCCATCTGTTGCAGTCAGGCCTGATTGAAGCGGCCGTCCTCATTCTGCACGAGGTGCCTCAGGAGCCCCCCCATGATTTTAAATCGACTAGCGATGTAAGGGATCAACTTACTACTTCTACAGCTTCTACACGTCTGCATAATGAATATCTGTCGCAAGGTGACCGGCCTGTGGTAAAGACTGCTCAAGTGCACGAGCTACAAAAGGGTTGGTTTCCAGTCAGGACACTTTCGGGTGCTAGGCTTTGCAAGGTGCCAGGCTAACTGCAAAAACGCCGTAACTGGTGAGGCCCCCATCCAGACAGGACACTTGAGGTAGTAGTTCACACGCCGCCTTCCTGCCAGACTGCTGATTGAAGTGGTTGTTCGAACGCGAAAGGGCCAAACGACATGGTTGACTACTGCAATCCACGAAACCGAGGTCCTATGGAAATAAGCAAAGAACTGTCAAGCTCCTGCTCGGACGTTCTCAGATTCTCAGAACGCTCAGGATGCAGGGATGGTTCCCCAAGTCCGTCTACCAAGCGCCCAAATGCTCGTAGCGATGATGGTAGTGGCGGCCGTGGTGGCGGTGGTGCGGCGTTGGCGGTGGCGGCGCTGCTGCTGCTGCTGCTGCTGCTGCTGCTGCCGCCGCCGCGGCTGCTGCTGCTGCTGCTGCCACTCCACTGCATCTGCCACTGCCGCTGCCTCTACCCATGCTGCTGCAGCAGTAGTAGTAGTAGTAGTAGTAGCAGCAGTAGTAGTAGTAGTAGTAGTAGTAGCAGTAGCAGTAGCAGTAGCAGTAGCAGCAGTAGTAGTTGTTGTTGTTGTCGTTGTTGTCTTTGTTGTTGTTGTTGTAGCAGCTACTACGACGACGACTACTACACTCCTCGGTTGGTGGTCAATCCCAGCTCGACCTTGCCTTGGAACGTGATGCGCGAGCGCCAAACAAGTCCATCCAGGAGGGGCTGAAGCATGGTTGGAGCCTCGGCACCTGCAATTTTTACCTTAGGGTTTAGGGTTTAGGGCTTAGGGTTTAGGGCTTAGGGTTTAGGGTTTAGGGTTTAGGGTTTAGGGTTTAGGGCTTAGGGTTTAGGGTTTAGGGATTACCTATACTACTTGGGGAGGTTCCTTATTACAATTATAGTATAATACACCCCCAAACCCTGTTCTAATTATTAAGGCCCCTGCATGTACCTGCGCAGGACTTGTGGTACTAGACTATGCTGTAGTATACAGTACGCTGTGGTGTACTGTAAAATACTAGCATAAACTTTAAGTACTATCATTTTCTATGATATACTAGCCTATATTAAGCTTCACGGTGATACAAAACAATACAACAACAAACATATGTAATGTAATGAACGATCATATACAATAGAATACCATTATATATTCTGTTGCTCTACAGTAGGTACCCGGAGAATACAGAAAGGGTTTTTGGTCATTCTTTGGTGTAAGCATCCCGCGCTGAGACCCCGACATTGACAAAAAAGTCTGCCTCAACAGCCCCACAATTCGACCCCTACAACAAGCCCTGAACCCGATGTGCCTGCATGCCATACCCACTGACTGGGCCCTAAGAGCTGACTTTTAACAGCTTCGCGTCACTATCCAGGTTGGACGGACCTTCCATCATTGCCCAGCTAAACCCACAACTTGTTCACGGTGAGTCTTTTGTGCCGGATCTACACCGCAGCTTGGCGAAGACCCCGTACCCTTCCGTCCAATACAATATGGGTACGCCTTTCAAACGCTCTCCGATCAACTAGATACTAACCTCCCCCGCTCTCGACTGACTGCATCCGGGAAAGTGGGTCAAGCAAAGCGTTGTGCTCGGGAAAACACACCGGCGTGCGGGCGGAACGTGAAGGAAGTTGGGGCTAGATAAGACCGTAAAGACTTGAAAGCACTTGCTCGGAACCCATCTCAGAGCCGCACAGAGCTTCTGAATGATATTTGGATGGCGATTGAAGAGATCATCGCAGCCTCATTGTTCCCATCAGTAAAAGGGTCGTGGACTCGGCGACCAATCTGTCGGAACACGTCCCCTCTTTGCAAACCTGCTGGGCTTTTGTAGGGCAGGAGGCAAAGGGAGATGCCCGGCTAATGATTATCTTAATACTACTGGTAATAATAATGATGATAATTGATAACAATAATGATCATCATAATCCTAGTACGACTCGTCGTCATAGTAATGGCAATGCCCAAAGGCTCAAAGGCCGGCCAAGGGGCCATAGTAGTAGTTGTCACGGTCCGCACGGATCGTGAGCAGGTCCTGGATCATGGCCTGTTCGGATGCCAATGCCGGAGCCGAAGTCCGAAGTCACCCAGGATTAAAAACAAACGAGCCTTGACAACTAGAATGTGGTGTTGAGAAGGCGGGGAGCAGTATATAACGCAGTTTAATATAACGGAACAACATATAACGTTAGGTAACATGATACAACATAGCGTAATATAATAAAGCACAGTATATACACCGGCAGAGGATACTATATCGTGAGGAAATACAATCTAGACATGAATGTAAATACAAAATACCACATATCATAGTATGATATGATGCAATTTAATATAATACAGTGTAATATAAGACGCGGTATAGTGAAACATGATATGGTGTAACGAAAAGTTGATGTGTTATGATGTGGTATACTGCGACATAATGTAATATAGTATATTATAATATAACATGATGTGATATAAGACCATATGATGATATCCTACAATTTACTATAGTACTTTATATTTTATATACTTGCATATGATAGAAAATGACACAAGATCATCTGATGTGATCTGTTACAATGATATAGAATCATACAGTATAAGAAAGTGTAGAATACGGCTTAAGATTGAAATTATGAGATGGTGGAGTTTAATGCGGTATAATATGATATACGAGAACTGCTTGTTTCGTTCTGTGAGAACATAATGCAGCATGAGCGAAAGCACGCTCATAATGAAGAAAAAGAAGCATATATGAGCGAAACGAGAGCATGATTTCATTACAATGTGAAGAGACTCTGTTGTTTCACTGCTTTTGCTCTTGTAATGAATGTAATGACGTTGAAACAGTAAAGGTGCAGAGAATGCAATGTATATATATATATGCACACATTTGATCAGGGTATATAAAAGGTCGACCAATCTCATACAATATGATAGAATATGATATGAACATATATTAACTGTACTTTATTATGCAGTCTACTACAATAGAACAGAATAAGCAAACACAATATATTGTAATATGCCAGCATGTAGTAAAGTAGAGCATGACAAAACAAATGATAAAAATGAAACCATATGAAATATGGTACAATGTTATCAGACTGTATCACAAAAACGTACGAAATAAAGCAACCCAATGCAAGACAGCATAGCATAATGTACTATACTACAACACAATATGACAGAACACAAGGTAGTGCGATATTCCATAGTACAACAGAACATGATGCATTGATATAAGCTTATGATGTAGTGTCATTTGGAGTGGTATCACATAACATAAACTGGTATGACGTGATATCGAAGTATAGTACAGTGTTTGCATTGTGTAGTTTATGATTTATAGTATAGTACAGTATAGCATTCTACAGTTTTCCATATTGTACTATAGTTCAGTATGTAATATAGTATAGTATAGCATAGTACAGCGTAGCATAGTATAGTGTAGTATGGCATATTACAGAGTAGTATAGTATAAGAATGTACGTATAACATAACCTCATATAACATGAGGTAGTAAAATGTAAGATGTAAGATAGTATAATATGATGTATAGCAAAACTCAATAAAGCAAATACGATGTGACATAATCTAGCATTATATGGCAAAATACGACATAGTATGACAAAACGCCACAGAGTAGCCGGCCGATGCAGTCTGGCTCTTGGCTACGTCAGGACTGCAGTTGACTGTGCTGCAACTAAAGATCTGGGGCGTCGCCGCCAATGATCTAAGGGTCGCCGTGGCAAACTATCCAGCGCTGCTATCATCGTCGCAGTCGTCGGACGACAAGAGTTGCACGAAGATTGATTCACGCCGCACCGTAGTCTCTGCGTCGTCGGTGCACTGAGTGCCGGGATACCGGTATGAACAAGTACAACTAGTCTAAAGACTATAAACATATATGTAAGCCACTTCTTTGATTCACACAAGCTGGTAAAACCCTAAACCCTGTAAGCCACCAGTGACTGGGCCTTTCCACAGTTCAGGCTCCCGCTCTCGATGGCCCAGAAGAGCGGAGAGATGGACTGGGTGCCCACCTCGGGGGAAGAATAGGGTTTAGGATTTAGGGGTTTAGGGTTTAAGGGTTTAGGGTTTAGGGTTTAGGGTTTAGGGCTTAGGGTTTAGGGGTAAGGGTTTAGGCGTAAGATAAGACCTGCGCCGTATAGCCGTAATAATGACAACAGATATGATGATAGACAATAGTAATCATCATGCGGATAGTAGTAACAATCATGATGATAACACTAAAGTGACTAATGATGGTCAGGGTCGGATAATACTAATAATAGAGTCATGGCAGTAACAATAACAGCAACAACAATATCAAGAATAGTATTACTAAGAATAACTAATATGCTAATACTTACCATAATCATACGCGGAAGCTTGGGGCAGGTTTTGAGTTTGGGCATTCCGTTGGATGAGCAACTGTCACTATCACCATTGCAACCTTGGGCTTCAAGTTGCTCAAAGTTTTCGGCAATGGTGAATGCCTTTGCCGAGATGGGTGGTTCTCTGAATTAGGGTCCCTTCAAGGGTCCGCTTTATGGGGGTGCCGTACTATATTGGGGGCCCAAAAAGGGACCCTGCTCTAGAGAGCTACCCAGATAGGAAACCATACTTCAATCCGACCACATTTTCGGCCCCCATTCTGCTGCAAAAGCCTCCAGCCCTCAAAAGCCCTACACCACTCCTCCCAAACACTAAACCCTAAACCCTTAACCTCAAATCCCTAAACCCAAACCCCCTTAAACCCCAAACCCCTAAACCCAAACCCCCTTAAACCCCAAACCCCAAAATCTTAAAACCTTAAAACCGGCAAACCCCTAAATACTAAACCACAAACCCTAAACCCCCTAAGCCCCAAACCTTAAAAACTCCCAAATACTGTACCCTAAACCCTGAAACCCCTAAGCCCCAAACCTTAAAAATCGGCAACTCTCCAGTCGATGTCCAAAGGACCCGGATCTCCAGCAACTCCGTGGCCCTCCGCCCGCGGGGCGCCACGGCGATCGCCTTGCGCAGCGCCTGCGTAGCTGTGAACGTCGGGATGGGCTTAGGGCTTAGGGTTTGGGGTTTGGGGCTTAGGGTTTGGGGCTTGGGGCTTGGGGTTTGGTGGGGTATGGGGCTCAGGGTTTGGGGCTTGGGGTTTGGGGCTTGGGGCTTAGGGTTTGGGGTTTGGGGCTTAGGGTTTGGGGTTTAGGGCTTGGGGCTTAGGGCTCAGGGTTTCGAGCATCTTTGCGAGGCTAAGCCTCTAACGCTCGGGGTGTTCAGACGTCGGGTCCGAAGCGTTTTAGCACGTGCTTCGGGAGTGGAATATAAGGGCCTTAATTATCAAAAAAAGGTTTCGGGGTATATTATACTATACTTATAGTAAGGAACCCCCAAAATAGCATTAGTAATTATTTAGGCCCACATTAGTAGTGTAAACTGTTGCCCACCAACACTCCTGTCAAATCGGCGTCGGTTTGAGGTCGTAGGGTCTGAGTTGACTATTTAAATTGGGAATGCTGAACTACTTGGGGAACTTGGCACCGTCCACATTTAAGAGCTCATGCTTTCGGCTTCAGGGCTGAAGAACTTCCCATTGCAAATTCCAGGTCGACGCGTATCAAGCCGCGAGCCTTCTCCTGGTTGGTGTTGATGGCCCTCATTACAATCGTGGAGCCTGCAGACAGCAACTACGATTATGCCCAGCCTAGCTGGAATGCACTGCCGTTGAACCGCTGCTTTCCCTGACCCGCACTAAAATAGGGGCCTTGATGATTAGAATAAGGTTTTGGGGCCCATCATACTATAATTATAGTAAGGAGCCCCCAAAATAGTATTGGTAATTATTTAGGCCCCTATACCCTAAACCCTAAACCCTAAACCACTATACTACGAGATTCTGAGATTTTCGGGGAGCCAGAGGCATCTTCGGGCCTTCCAGCACCGTTCGGACCAGGATCTTCGAGACCAGTGTGAGAGACCAGCGGAAGGCTGCTTCGGCCACATCGTCCTCAAGGGGTTTAGGGTTTAGGGTTTAGGGTTTAGGGTTTTAGGGTTTAGGGTTTAGGGTTTAGGGTTTTAGGGTTTAGGGATGTAAGGGTTCCCACGGCTTGTCAATCCTGTTTGGGAGTTCTGTCTCTGGTCGCTTTACGAGTATCACGTTACAGGATCTTGACTGCTTCGGAGCTGTCAAAACAAGCAAGGCTCCGTGGTCATCCCCCGCACGACATCAACTGCTGCAGAGACCTCGGTGTCAACGGCATTAGGATTCTCCCTCTTCATGCTTCGCATCTACGCTGGGTGCCCGGAATCTACACTCCATTCAGAGAGCCCTCGCCGGAAGGCTTCAGCATCACTGAACATGCAACCACCCCACCAAAGGAAATGGAGCTGACACTTTGACCAAGCAGGGAAGGCAGCGCATGACACGAGGCATCAAAGTTAACCAGAGTCTCACTCACTACACCAAGCGGAGCCGCGAAGGGTGCGAACAGCTCGGTGGGCACTTCGTAACCAACATGGCCTCGGCCCGTGAAGCAACTAGGTACGACTTAAAACACATATACACACACACACACACCTGCGGCATCCTCATCACACCGTCAAGTTTTTGATCTGGGTATCAAGGGAAACTGTGATATCAGATGGCTCGTGGATCGCAACCATCCGAGACTAGGTAGGAGCCCAGGACCATACTGGTACCATGGGTAGCGATATTTGGGCTGCAAGTAGGATAACCAAAATTATAACCCATGTTACGGGACCGATAACCCCACTTATAACTACAAATGAACCTCCAAGTAACACATCATATGCATCATCTAGCCAAGCAGCGGAGACCCAGAGCGGAGATGTCGACGACCTGGCCGGCACTGAAGAATATGCTAGAAAGGGCTCGTGTGTGTGCGTCCACATGCCATCAGCAACAGCCGAACAAAACTGATCTTGGCACTCGACCATTTGCCGTGGAGTTCTGAAGATTTCCACGGTCATCTCGATGATCCTTATTGCCAAGGCTGCCAAGGCTGTCGTGGGATATGAGTGGAGCCGGAACAGCACGCACTTATCCGCAGCATAGCAGCACCCTACGTTTTAAGGGCACCTTCAACAGACGTTTCTTTCTGACGTGGCGCTTGTCGGCAATGAAGTATAGCCTTGTGGTGGACTGCTTGAAATGGTCTTGCCCGGCCGGGGCGACAGCGAAGAACCTGTGCTTTTCGAGAGATGTGAGGCTTTTGGGGCTTCAGTGTTTAGCCTTTAGTGTTTAAGTGTTTAATGTAGGGGCCTTAGTAATTAGATAATTAGACTAGGGTTTGGGGGTCGCTATACTATAATTACAATAAGGAACCCCAAAATAGTATTGGTAATTCTTGAGGCCCGGCCCCTATATTAGGGTTCAAACCCAGACGCGAGGAGAGTCGAGGCACCAGCCAATGACATGGAAGGACGGAAATGGGATTTGAGATGTATCATGTTCTACTGTCGGAATTACAAAGGCATACAATCAGCACCTAGTTGTTGAATCTCCGACTTACTTCGTGTGGGGCCGCGAAACTGCCTACCTCTCCGTCTAAGAGGCCCAGTCAACTTCTCCATCAACCAGAAACTATAGGTCCAAATCCCAGACAAGAAGTGTAGCTTCAGTCTTTGTTACCAGCTGGACACACATTCCTTTTCTGGGATTCGACGCGAGTGTCCTTGCTAAGCCTAAAGCCTGAAGCACCGACCCCAAAATCTTAAAAGCCTAAATCCTACACCTCAAACCCCAACAATGTAAACCCTGTCAACCCTATGAAACCTACAAGCCACAAGCCCGAACACCAGAAACTCAAACCCGAAGCCCTAAACCTTGCACCAGTAAAGCCCTGAACCCTGCAGCACCCTTGTCCGAAATGGCTTCGAGCCGTCATACAGCCCTCGCAGAACCTGCCTTTATAAAGCCCTCATAGAACCGCTCATAGAACGCGTGAAACTCCGAAATTCAGATAAACCCTTGCAGAACTCGATAGGACCCGAGAAGAACCTTCACGATGATAGAACCATAGGACCCACCCACCCCCTCAAACACAAAGCTCAAACCCCCCTCCAAAACAACAAGCACAACGGCTCAGCAGGGCCCTGAACCCCAACCCCTAAACCCGAGACCAAAATCCCTGAACCCAAAACCCCAAACTCAAATCCCTAAACCCAGCACCACAAAACCTCCTCTCAGGTTTAGGGTTTAGGAGTTTGAATCTTCCGGGCAAGCCTTCGATAGAGCTCCTGGCGCAAGAACAGGATCGAAGTCTCCTGGGCTCGGTTTAGGGTTTAGGGTTTAGGGTTTAGGGTTTAGGGAATCGATGTTAAGCTCCTATAGGTTAGGCTTTACTTAGGGCTTAGGCTTTAGAGTTCCTTTAAGGGTTCGGGTTTAGGGTTTATAGGGTTTTAGGGTTTACAGGGTTTAGGGTTTACAGGGTTTTGGGTTTACAGGGTTTGGGGTTTACGGGGTTTGGGGTTTTCAGCTCCTCTAAGAGTTCTATACTTGGAGGATCATGGGACTTAGTAAGTAAGGTTATAAGTCCCCTAATTGGGGTTAAGTATAGTTACCTTAGTTATAACCCTACTTACTAAGTCCCATGATCCTTTAAGTAAGGGTGACTTCAGGAGCCGAGTCTCCGAGAGGCTCAGGATAAATCGGCCCAGGGCTTCCTCGTGCGCCTCTGGATTTCTGCTTTGTTTTGGTCTATTTTCAGGATTTCTAGGGGTTTGGGGGTTTGGGTAAAATGACTCAAAAATCTAGGTCAAACTATAATGTGACGATACAAGAGAGAAGTAATGGGAGATTATAGGAAGATTTCAATGGTAAGTTATAGGAGAATCTTAATTATTCAAGATATAACTAAAAATCTGGTGTAATCTACCATTATAAATGACCTACAAGATTCCTGTAATAATATGAAGAGAGCTTCTCGTTCCCCTCTTTGTTTCGTTGCAATGAAATAGAATGAAAGCGCGAACGAAACAAAGAGAACGAGAAGGGAACGAAATAAGACTTGGAGATGAAGACAGCTGTTGTGGGTTCTTGTAGGTCATTTTTAGTGGTATCTTGTAGGTCATTCTATCACAGGATCATCCAAGTCATTTGTAACCTCTAATTATAAGAGAAATCACATTACAAACCTACATTATAATCCCTCCTATAATATGAAGAGAGTTTCTCCTTTTGTTCTATTCAATTAAAACAATGAACAAGGAGAAGCGTGTTTAATTGAATAGAAGAAAAAGAGAAATGAACGAAATAAAAGCCCAAAAGATACAAATGAAGGAAACAAAAACAATGAAATGAAAGTAATGGAATGGAAGCGTGTTTTGTTTCTCTTTATTTGGGTCTTTTG